GTCCCATTTGCCGAGTGCTGTTCGGCTGGCGCGACTGTTTTACAAAATCTTCAGAATTACCGCTCATAATCTCATATCAGACTGGGGGAAGAGCCTGTAGTTTCCATCTTCATTAGCTTCTACACAGAAATTGTCATTGTAAGTGTACCCCTCCCTGTGCTTCTTCCGGTACCGATGTTGGGTTAGGTTGCCTACTTTGTCTATATCCCAGTTGGACAGCAATTCTGCCATGTGGCTCCTTTCACTTTCAAAGTTTGGACCTAGAAGATAACCTTTTCTCTAGTGACTTAATATTTCCGTCAAAACCCAGAATGTAGCCACCAAAGGCAAGGTTATAAAATTGTTTCTTGGTTACAAATTCATCAGCAAGTTTGTAACAAAGTTTGTTGGATGAGGCAACTGAAGAGGCCATATCATCATCAGAAGGGTCAGCACTCGAGACATCTGCAATGGCCATGGTAAAAACGGATTCTGAGCTGCTCCTGGGAAGCGAACGTTGTAGGCCAATGTGAGTGAGTCTTCCTTCTGGTCAATAGAGCCCAAGGTTGCTTCACTGCGTGCTAATCTAAATAACGAAACCACTCAAGATAACGACTGTGGAGAACATAGTTTGGGAGAGAGGCAGGCGCTAAATGGGACATGCTGGCTTGGAGAATTGCTGGGCCATTCGGTAGAATGGGCCAGTAGACTGGCCCCTGGCCCGACCATTCTGTAGAATGGGCCAGTCGGTAGAATGGCGGTCACAGACCGGAGGTGATTGAATTGACTCAATCTAAATCATTGAAATCGCTAATATTCGATACACGAGAGCAGGATACTACGAACGGTTCAGTTGCCTTCCCGAAGCTCGTGGATGTTGGAATCTTCCACACTTGAGAGAACACCAAGAGAAAGGGATGCAGTCTTGCGCAGTATTGGTAGACGTTGAAAATGTTTCCCATAAAAGCCTCCAGTGGATAATGCCAATTTTAGACTCGATGGGATACAATGCCAAAACAAGAAAAGCTTATGGTGACTTCCGGAAGCCAAACTTGGAACCATGGAACGAAGCGCTAAACAAATTTACCTTTGAGAAAGTTTCGGTGCCTTCTTTTGCTTCAGGAAAGGGGACATCAGATATGGCGATGATCATTGGTGCTATGGATATTATGTACAGTCGCTCCAGCATTGGGTGTTTTGTACTCGTCACATCGGATTCGGATTTCGCTCCACTTGTCGGTCGACTCAAACAAGCCGGAAAAGAACTATTGGGGTTTGGAGAACGGAAAACATCTTTAGCGCTTGTGAAAGAGTACAAGAATTTCTTTTACGTCGATGCCTTCAAAGACAAAACAATAGGCACCATGGTTCCGAAACGCAAGGAAAACCAACAATTGGTTGAGGTTCCTGATCGCCCCCCAAAGAAGAAAAACGGCAAGAGGAAGCGTAATCAAGGCCAGCACTTGACTGGCGTTTCTAATATCCTCTCCAAGAAGAAAAAAGCCAAAAGGAAACGCAGTGAAGACCAACCCGTGGCTCAGGTTTCTGATGTCCTGAAAAAGAAGAAAGAAGCCAAAAGGAAACGCAGCGAAGCCCAACACTTGGCTGAGGTTCCTGATCTCTGCAAAACGAACAAAAAACAGAAAATTGTTTCAAAATGCAAGGAAGAGCAACACTTGGTGAAGGTTCTTGTTGACGTCGTCAAGCAAAAATCCAACAGGGATGGATGGGCAAATCTCCGTTCCGTCGGTCGCCACTTTGATTGCAAACGCCGTGGATGTTCAAAGCTTGGTAAATTAATCAAACGAAATAGGATTCACTTTCTATCTGATGGGAAGAGAGTTAGGGTGAGGGTTCAGGGCCTCATGCCGGATGACGAATTAGACTAACAGGGTGTGATCATAATGTGTAAACATTGGCATAACCCTTCCATATGGGAGAATGTCGACGAGCAATATCGCTTTTTCCAGACGGACGAAGAAGGCACATAAAACCGAACATGCTACAGTATCACAACACAGGTACGGTTTTACCATAGTAATAGCATTTATTGTCCATACAATATTAAAATGTTGATGATTGACTAGGCCCTTACTCTATAGAGTTCGCATGCCGGTACTTTCTTTTTACAATTATTCTTCAAAATCGAAGGAAGTTTTTACACACCAAGAGAGCGGCATGACATCAGTCCGCGTGCGGCCAACACTTTCTCCCATAATCGTTATGTAGGTAGAAACCAACATAGCTCGACTTCCGATAGCTCATCCAAGCCAGAATATTGATAGTGATAGTGATAGCGATGACGGTCCCTGGCATTGCGGTTAGCGGGCTCGCTACTAGGTAGCATTTGTAGGATGATTGGGTACGTGTACTGTTATCGAAAGAGAAAATGATGCTTTTCGCCCATGTCCAATTGTTGCGGCTGGATCCGTCTTTCCCAACCTGTTTGACTGGATTCAAAATTCACGGAATTTCGTTGACTCCGATAATTCGTGACGAGTAGCTGTCGAAAGCATATTCGCTCTGATATTCTTCAGCGCTGTTCTGTATTCCTTCTGAGATTGATGATGCTCAGCATGGCTTCCCGAAACTGGCGTTCCCTCTCAACCATAACTAACAACTCAAGAGAGGACCACAATCCATTCAGGCCCATGGCCGGTGCCGCGAATCCCATCGATGCCGATGCACCTGCGTACAACGAAGTCAGATTCATTTGCATTGGAATACGTCCCAAAGAAAGCAGAGGGTCGAATAGCACAGGCAAGGCCACTCTCGGTGTCTCCTGATGTCCCAAAGTGCC